GGACCTTTTAGGCTGAGAAACTTTAAAGGCAGACATGCCTCWCCTGTGGTAAGTGGTCTGTACCTACTCATTCAGAAAAACCTCATTTCTCTTTTTCCTTCCCATCTAGAAAGTGATCTTGCCAATCAATTGGAAGAATCTGCTTTAATGAGTATAGAAGTGAAAATTGCAGATCTAGGAAGCGCATGCTGGACAGTGAGTCTGCTCCGAGTCTCAATTCCATGACAATGTGGGATGCTGTGTGCTTCTTTCCATCCCACAGTGTATGACTGTCCCTTTACAGCTGAAGAGATGTCAATATTGGGGGGTGTTATGTTCAGAACTCTCAGCTCCAACTTGTGCACTGTCTCCCTGAAACACTGTCAGCTTTGGACATTTTTCCAGCTTGCAGTTAGTCCCTACAATCAAAACCATGTTCAGTGTAAAATGGTGGGAGGGAGATTTCCCCTGGTGTCAGTGGGGCCAGGAAGGTGCTGGCCGTGCCCTGCAGAGAATTGAGAACACAAATTCAGTTGCATCCTTAATGTCCCCTCACTGCACAAGAAGCTTGTGACCAACAGCATTGCTGTGACTGGTCTAGGGACACCAACCACAGCAAGTTTATTTCTATTTCAGTACAAGCCTTTTTCTAAGGAGATCCAGACCCAGCCATATCGTGCCCTGGAAGTGCTTCTTGGATTAGACTACGGCACTCCTGCGGATATCTGGAGTATGGCMTGCCTGGTAGGATTGGGGACAATGCTGTGCATGCAGGGGAAGTGACAGACACTACCTGGCCAGGGCAGCAAGTCCTTATTATCCACCTACCCATGTAAAGAAAGCTTCCTTGCTGAGAAGGCCAGAGGGGCTAGCAGCACTCATTCATTTTAGGGTGAAAGGCTGCTGCTGGTAAAACCCACTCTTAATTTAGTTTAAACTCTAAGGCAATTCACACTCCGTGTAGGTTAGCTCACAGGCTTGCCTGAATCAGGCACATGCTGCTTTTCATCCTGGTGGAGCTAAAGGGGTTGTTTCACCGTAGTACAGATAAAGCCAGTGTGCACAGTTCCACATTTTAGGATCGTGTGATAGCGAGGGAAATTGGTACTGTCAGTTACTGGGGAAGGAAAACTCCAAGACAATCAGTGAATTAACAATGCTACTCCATTTCTAGGCATTTGAAATGGCAACTGGGGAGCGTCTATTTGATCCTCAACCTGGGAAATACTTCTCCAGAGATGATGGTAGGACTCCATCAGTTTTATTCATCTCACTAACAGAAGTGTCTCAGTCTGTATCTAAATTTCTTTTCCTTCCCTCCATCTAGATCATGTTGCTTGTATTATTGAACTCTTGGGAAGAATTCCTCCTCAAATTGTTATCTCGTGGAACAAGTCAACAAAATTTTTCAGCAGGCCAGGTAAGAACTGGCATAAGGAAGTTTATTTTAAAAATCACTGTGGATCTCTGACACACTCCTACTCAGCTCATGCTGAAMTCTCCAAAAAGTTACATTATAGAACACAGGCTACAAACAGGAAATTTCATAAAGAGCAGTAACACACCCTGCCTATCTTTGCAATCCATGACTGTAAAATCCTGAAAAACGGTCATAGCAAACACCCAACAGGGAAACCATTTCCATTTGTTCTCCTTTGGAGAGAATGGAAATACAGACAGGAAACAGCTCCATGCCAGAAAGGCTGAAGAGAGTTTAACGGGCTGGACTTTACCCACTCACTGRCAAAGAACAATRATGACCAGGAATGGGACACTCATATCCTTCCAGCGTATCTGCTATATTTAGTCTTCTGTCTCAACTGTAACATCTCTTCTGTTTTATTCTCCTCAGATCCTTTCCCTTTGACTCATGAGCCTTAAAACCCTYGCCTTTGACCACAAGGCATCACATGACTGCATCCCTCCACAATTTGGCTTATCATGCTTCTCTGCTCTCATGCTCATTCTACCCACAGCTCATTCAGGGCTTAGTGCTTTTCCCATACTGGAATTTAGCATGCACMTCCCTGCACATCCACATGCTTTGCTCACACTTATTTCTTCTATGGTGCTCAAAAGAAATGAGTCAAAACTAGTTYTACATTCACTCTCCTTGTGAACCAACCCGGCCTGACCACACATGCCGAACTGGAATCACTGCATTTACATCATGCATTCCCAGCAGGGCTGCTTCTTGCTCATTCATACGCTCCACTGGGGCCCATGGAGCTGGCTGGCACAAAACAAATTCAACAYGAGTGTCTTGTGAGCCCTTACACTGAAATAGCACGATGCATCCAAGGTGCCTGTGGGCAGGCGCAGGGAACAAGCAGCAATGGCTCCAGCATGGTTATTCTGGGAACACTTCACACACTCTCGCATGTTCTCAGCTTAAAGAAGTACACAGGAACAGGGAGACTCAAAACACACTAGCTTGGAAAGATGGTTCCCGAGAAACACCCGAGAGCCAAACCTGCACGGGGCAACACAAGTGGGCCTCACAGAGATAATTTCAAAGCGAAGGCAGGGATATTTCAGGATGCTTTGGGTTAATTCTGAGGAGAGGCGCGGCAGCCTCAGCCGCGCAGGTGTGACTGAGGCGCKGTGCCCACGCTGTCTTTGCCAGGCGCGCTCCTGCGGCTCTCCCGGCTCTCCCCCCGCAGCCTCCCCGGCATCCTGGCGGACCGGCACGGCTGGACACCCCGGGAGGCGGCCGCCTTCGCCGCCTTCCTGCTGCCCGCGCTGCACTACACGCCCGAGCGCCGCGCCAGCGCCGCGCAGAGCCTGCGGCACGCCTGGATCACCGCACCGTGACCGGACCCAGCTCTCCCCGCCCCGCCGCCGCACCGCCCTCCCGCGGGGGCGGCGGGGCCGCTRCCCGCCCGCAACTCCCGGTGCGCCTCCTCTGCAGTCCCCGGCGTGATCCGGCGGCTCCCTTCGCGTCCCGGCTCCACTCCCTTCCTCCCGTGTCCCTGCAGCGCTGCGGACACACGCATCGCTCACTGCGAGCGGCCGCAGACGCGGCACACGGACACCGGAACCGGGCGGAGCCCCTCGGCTCGMGCGCGGGCACCGACGGCCACGGGGCCCCTTCTGCCCGGCGTGGCCGCCCCTCCTCCCGCGGAAGGGCCGTCCCTCCGCCTCACTGCCCCGCGGCCTTTGTTCGGGGCCCAGGGGCGGGGAGCGGCCAGCTCTAGGTGCGGGAGCCGCACGGGCCCGGCCCGAGGAGGGGCGGTCTCAGCCCCGAGCGGCCCCGCCGGGAACCCGCGACGGGACCCSGGCCCAGCCCCCTCCCCCTCAGCCCCGCGCGCGCGGACGTGCCGCGCGGCAGGCCCCGCGCGCGCGCCGCCGCACATGCGCCCTCCGCTGCCCTCCGC